TCAGTTGTATTATTGGTGATTTGGATCTTATATGTGTGAACATCCAAGACTTGACCATTGAGTTAGTCTCTCATGAAAATGTATAGGAAGGAATGGTGTCCACGCCATTGTTTCTGAGGATTTTGAAGGAAACTAAGATTTCATTGAAGATGAAGAGGTGAAGATTTAGGTTGCTAATTTCCATGGGAAGTAGTAAAATGTATTATCGTGTATTCTAGTTGACATGTTACATAGTATATTTATTTTGGATAATTTTGATTAAAATATTTTTTAATGTTATTTTATATTATTGTTTATGTTGTTGCAAATTAAAATAGTTGATCTAAAAGTGCCAAGTTATAAATGTTAAGCTCGTCAAAAACTATTTTTAAAATAATGACAACACTACACTATGTAACGCAATTACTTAGTATAATCCAATCAAATTCCTTTCGATAATTGATAAATTATGCAATATGCTATGTGAGTAAAATATATAAGCATTATTTACAAATTTTAATGCTATACGATATGCTATGTGAGTAAATAGTGTAAAAAGGCTTAAGACCTGCACCATCACCTATAACCATTATCACATTATTATTTTTCCCTTCCAACAATGATTCTTGTTTGTGTAGTAAAAGTGTAAAAATTTAATGAGTCAAATCACAAAACCAATTGTACCTAAAAACACATAGATATGAATAAATGAAATACCTAACTCTAGTGATATTGTTGTTGAACTGTGACCAGTGCCAAAGAATCAAATTCACTCTCAGACCTTTTTGTAAATCCAGTTAATCCATCTTTCAGCCTCAAAGTATGCATCTTATACCAGTGAGAATTTTATGAGGATAACACTACAAAATTCTCACATACACAGGTTTGTATTATTAAGACCAAGTGTCAAAAACCTTACGAAATGAACCAAAACTAAATACTATGTTGATAATAATAAAAAGTAACAACCAAATACTATGCTGATAATAATAAAAAGTAATTCGATGACCAGCATCCAACAAGATTTTGTTTTTAGGAGCATTTAAAACATGGTGAAGGGTAACAGTGAGTTCAACAACACCAATGTTTAAATCATGGATTTTATTAATAACAATTAAAAATTTATACGTAACAAAATCATTTAAATGTCATCATCTTTAACCATAAATTTCTTCAAAGTTTTATTCTAGAAAAGGAGAAACATAACTCACCCTTCTCCAATGCATATGTAGGTATAATAATAAGCACTCCCTGACGGACATCGACATGCAAGTTCTGCATAACACAAAGCTGATAGTGCGGCTATTTCTGCAAATAAGAGTGATAATGCAAGTGCTGGTCCCCCCTCTCTCTAGCATCTGTTCCAATGAGAATATACCCTCTAGCTCCTGTTGTAGCTCCAACCCCTAATTTTCAAGAATGATCAATTACCTTCTGTATTGTAAATGCTAAGTAAAAACTAAAAAGAAGCTAAGCCCTACATATATTAAAGAAAACATATATTGGAAGCTAGCAATTGAGCATATTATAATGACTAAGCCACTATCATTCTAGAGAATACCCAGAAACTCAACCAATTAAAAAAATAAAGATAACCACAAACATAATCTCACTCCATGCACTAACAGCAAAATCATATCGAATAAAATCAAAATCAACATAAGCACAAAATATAACTCACTGTTGAACAAAATTCAAATATTTGAAATTGAAAATGAAGAATTACCAATTCAAACAAAATCAACAACATATAACTTCCAATCCAATTGAGGATGACTCCTGTAATGAATAGAATCAACTTGTTTCCTCCAAATCAAGCTTCCAAATCCTCTAAACCATTCTCAGTATATTTCTCCAATACCAACCCCCTCATTCCCAATATTCACAATCATTATCCAAATTCATAATTCCAATACAATAAGTGGAGCTTCAATTTTAGAAAAATTAAAAGTACAGTTCCACTTTCAAGCTCACGAATCTCATGCAACCAGTAAATTTCATGTTTCGAATTCCAAAACATAGACAACCACTCTCTACAATGCGCTCACTATTTTCAATTACCAAAATTTTAATTGCATTACTCCTCAATCCATTTAACTAGGATTTACGTTTCCCGTTCATATATACTAGCATAAAATAAACAAAGTCACAAGTTTATAACCTGTGATCCGAGATGAAGAAAGCAAAGGTGGTTTTTATCCCTTTTCTCGGTATTGGTCATTTAGTTTCCACTCTCGAGTTCGCGAAGCTTCTAATAAACCGTGATAACCGTCTCCACATAACCATCTTGATCATGATTCATGAAATACTCAAATACCACAGAAACTGATGTCTACACTAAATCACTTCCCATCTCTGATTCTCTCAATCTCATCAACCTTCCGGAATGTTCTCTTCCTCTAAACATGGATCGACGTTCTGCCATGATCGCTCTCATTGAAGCTCAAAAGCCAAATGTCCAACAAGTTGTCGCTAACCTCACTACTGAACGAGGAGAAAACAGAGTCCTATCTGCTTTTGTTGTTGACATGTTTTGCACCACCATGATTGATGTTGCCAAAGAATTCTCGGTCCCTACACTCGTCTTTTACACTTTCGGTGTTGCTTACCTTGGTTTAGTGTTTCATCTTCATACTCTCAGAGAACGAGACAACGTAGATTCGGATCAGTTGCTGCAACTTGCTGAGTTGGATGTCCCAAGTTTTGCTAACTCTATTCCTTCAAAATCGTTGCCTACTATTGTGCTATGCAAGGAATGGGAGTCAGTTTTTATGAACTATGCGGAAGGCCTCAAGAATGCGGATGGCATTATAGTAAATTCATTTGAAGAGCTAGAGTCGTATGAGGTTCAATCATTTTTATCTCATCCTGGTTTTCCAGGTTTATCCATATATCTGGTTGGACCTATATTAAACCCTGAACTCAAAACTGAGGGTACAATTGATTATGTTGATGTCATCAAGTGGCTCAATGATCAACCTCTGTTCTCAGTAGTTTTCCTCTGCTTCGGGAGTACAGGTTGTTTCGATGACGATCAGGTTAAGAAGATCGCACTTGCTATTGAGAATAGTGGAGCTCGCTTCATGTGGTCTCTCCGTAAACCACCGTTGAAGGGCATATAAATTCTTAGTAATTTATCGAACACATGATTCGTAAGAAACAGAAACAAAAAAGGAAAAGAAACTTGGTTGAGGCAATTTACCGAACACTTAGTGTGCAAGTTGCAAAACGGTGGAAACGACAACAATTCGATACCGATTCGTAAACCACAACCTGCAACATACCCATCATAAATTGATAAATTGGGAGAATGAAAATGAACTGTAAAAACAAACAAGGCTCATGAATCCCTAATTAGAATCCCCATTCTCCCTTATATCCAAAAGATTCCCTAACCTGAAAGGTCATTGAAATGAAAAAAATAGAGAAACTTATGAGTAAGTGAATCTTAAATGAAATGAGATTGAGGGAACGAAATGAATATTGAAATGAAAATGCAACCGGAAAAGGTAAGTGGTGCACCTGTTCTTGGTTAAACCGGAAAATGTTGTCGGTGGTTGAGCTCGGGCAGCTGCCCTACCTGGCCGGGCGCTGGCTCCGCCACTGTTTCAAATCTCATACCCTAAACCGAAGGTGCTTAATTTAATCAATAACACAAGGTTAAAATCTAACATTTCAAAACGCAAAGAGAAGAGAGAGAATCTGGAGAGAAAAGAGTGAGTGTGGTGACGGTGGTAGCAGTGGCGAAGAAAGTGAGACGTCATTAACGAAGAAGCACAAAGGCTCGCCATGAAGGAGACGAAAGTTGCAGTGAGAGATAGAGAGAGTGAGACGTTATTGATGAAGCACGAAACCTAAATCTGGAAACGAAGAGGAAGAGAAGATTTTTTTTGTGTACAGATAAGCCACTTAAAATTTTCAAATTATATAAAACTTGTTCCACTAACTTGTTCCAACTTGGAATCGAACCTGCGCTTTGTTAGGAGTATATAAAACTTCTTAGGACAGGTGGCTGACACCTGACTTAAAAATTAGATTTTTTAAGTCAATTAATAAACACATACATGTGATTTAAGAAATTTAATATAAATTATATATTTTTTAAATCTTTTTTAGGTCAGTTTTAAATGCACCCGACCTAACTAAGTTGTCAATATTTACGAAATTGCTACTGTGTCATTTCTTAAGTCAAGTGGCAAGTGAACTGACTTAAAAACTCTACTAAAAAATTAATTTTTTACTAGTGTTTATTGTTAAGTATTGTCATCTTCGGATCAGAGATGATGTATATGTTTAGTTTATTGGAGCATTATGACACTTTGGACAATCACAATGAATAACCATGCGCTAGGTTAAACAAGATCCCTTATATTTAGGCTAATTTATATTAATTATTGAATTTGTACATACATGTACATTTATGTCTTGGAATAGGTTTAGATTCCAAGTTCCAACAAATACTACTGAATTGTAGATAGCATAGACATATGGCAGAAAATCATACACGTACGGTATCAAACAGCTAGTTTTGCCATATGATGTTGCTAAGGACAAAGCTTCTGCTTTCAGCATGATTCAAGCAGATGGCACTGTTTGCAACAACGAATCTTTAATGCTTTTTTCTTTTTAACAGTTATACATAATTCCATGCAACCATATTCTGGAAACTATACTGCAACTTGAGACTGTTTGTTTGGCTTTATATGACCCTTATTAATTGGCTATCATAGCATTGCCTAGCTGTTACATAAATGCATAACATGAATGGATGCTGAATCTAGCAATATTTGTTTAGGATTTAGTAGATAGTGTCCCTTTAAAGTATCATAATTAATCATTGCTCTTCCCAATACATTCAAACATAATGTCCATAGATATTATCATTAATTAGCATGAAAATATAGATATATAATAACATCAAATACTAGCAGAATAATAACAATAAATAAACTATTTACATTTTTCTGGTTAATTAAGACAGTTAATACTACTTAACTAACTACTCTAATTGAATTTATAATCTAATTAATACCAAAACCATATTGACTCATATCAAACCATACCTGCCTAAACACTTTGATTATCATATCATGATACTCATCAGCATTCAAAGTCAAATAACATGCCAACAATTCTTCCATTTCTTCTGCCTTACTAATCCTTTTCTCTTCAATCATCTCAATCATTGAATCTCTAAAATCCTTCTTTGGATTCAACGAACACTTAATCACAGCAAAACTATCTAATTCTGGTTTAATACTAATACTAATTTCCTCCATAATCTCTTCCTTTCTTTCTCTCTTCATCTTTTGCTTTGCTTTGTTCCTCATTTCTTCTAACGCTTTTATTCTGCTCATTTCAATCTTTGATATCATCCTTGGTGAATATATTTTCACCCTCGAAACTTTCTTCGGTTTCCGCCTTTGTTTTTCTTGTATCTTTTCCTTCATCTCTTCATTTTCGTTCAACTTCTTCTTCTCAGAAACCTGTTTTGCATTTTCTGAAAGATTGCTTGGTTTACAAGAAATCTTCTTCAGATTCAAACCTGCATTTGAAGAAGCAGAAGAATGCGTTGTTGTTCTTGGTGTACAAATTGTTCTTGGTGATTCGTATTGAAGCTCTTCAACTTCCTTTGCTTCTCTTTCCAATTTCAAAAGCTGTTCTTCCAAAACCTGTTGCGCTTTTCTCTCGAATCGTCTCCTTATGTTTTCATATTCTTTATCTCTATCATACTCATCATTATCATTCAGAAGTTTTCTCTCGTCTTCTAAGCCAACCACATCCTTATGCTCTAACTTGATTGTACCTTGTGATTGTGATCTTCTTCTTCCCGTTTTCTTACTATTCCTTCCGCCGATATCGAAACATGAAGGCGGAAACGGAATATCATTAACCGATGCAGTAGGTTTCTGGTTTTCCTTGTGCTTCAATTTTGCATGATTTGAATCTGAATTGATGATTCTCATGTGTTTTAACTTTGAAAGCCAAGAAAAAGCACCAGATGAAGATGAAGATTTTCTTCCAGTTCCACCCCATTTCATCATAGTTTTTTGTATGTAAAAAAGTGATAATAATTGACGATATTGTAAGGTTAAAAAGTGGAATAGTGATGCGGTGTGAAAAAACGGTTAGAAAGTTGAATAGGAACGTGGGTTTCTTACTGTTTTTTAAAAGAGAAAACCGCCACAAATCATGTGACACTTTTTTCTTCTACTCAGAGAAAGTTCCGAGATCCTTATATTTAGGTCCACTAAGAGCAGTAATAAAGAGGTGGTTGCCAACTTATATAATGCTCTATTATTAGTGTTATTTTAATATAACCGAAACATTTTTTTTTCAATTGAAGAGATTAATCTTTTAAATTAAATAAAATTATAATAAATTATAGAACTCTTTTTCAAAAAATTTGACACTGTTGTCTCTATTATTATTATTTTATCAACTAATTTGTGTGAGAGAAATATTTTTGTTAATTGTAAATTTGAAAAATGATTCTTTTGAAATTATCCGTTTAAATATTTAAATTTGTTAGGTCGGCTTTGTATATTAGAGTCAATTTTATTTGGAGGGAAGTGGTTTCAAATAGAGAGACAATAATTTCTAGGGGTTTCTATTTTGTTTCCATAATAGTTTGTAGGGGACATTTTAGCATGTAGTTGTACTATTATTACCGGCCTAGAAACGTCTATGCTTTAACTTTTGTTTGTTTATTTTGGTTTTTGGTTTTAGTTTTTCCTAGTTGTTGATGGAAGGTTCGAGATAGGTAGGAGTCAATAAGCAAAGGAATTAAAAAATTTAGTCACTAAACGTTTTGATAGTTTAACAAATTGATGAAATATATATTATATGTATTATAACATGCGAATTGAAAAGTGAAATTTATAAATGCAATCACATGATTGAGGATAAAGAAGAATGGCAATTAAACAATTAAAATATATGATCTTTAATTTTAAAAAAATTATGTACAAAAGACATCAATATAATTTGGTATAAAAAGATGGAAAGAAAAAAACATTATAATCTATTATCCAGTTCGATCAATTGATTTATTTTTGGAGGAATAGCTTTCTGACTCACTATCCTTTTAAAAATTGTTACAAAAGATTATAAATGAGTTAAAAATTATAGACGCTTAAGTTCTCAAGAATAAATTCTATTTTTTATTCAAGTGTTTCTTAATCTTTCTAATTCACTATATGAATCACACAAGTCGAAAATATTTAGAAAACCCCCTTAGATATTTATAAAGGTTTCTGATCTGACCTGATCAGAAAGAGGTCGTGGGACGGCCACACGCTGCTGGGCTTCTGCTTGTTCTACGGTGCTGAGGACAAAGTGGGGGGATTGTACCTGCAAGGCACTCCGATGTTAAAGTAAGTGATTTGGACGGAGTGAGAGCAAAGTACAGAAAGGGTAAAATGTGAATTACCTGACCCTCTTGTGAAAGAGGGTATTTATAGAGAGACCCTAGCGCTGGGCCAACGGTCACTTGTGTTGGGCTGGATCGTCAGGCCCAACCCAGGCGACTGTTAGGGCTTACGTGGCGTAGTGAAGACCAGGACGTGGTCTTCGCCCTAGTTCAACTGCTCCGTGAACTCCGGAAAGTGGGTTGACCTGCTCTTTCGGAGGTGGGCAGTTGGTGGATGGTGTGTCCCCGCGGTGGGGGGCATGTGGAGAACATGCGAATGGCACGTTGATCTCCCCGCGGAGGGGAGCTCGTGAGGTTCTCTGAAGGTGTGTTGTTCTCCCCGCGGATGGGGGCATACAAAGGCGTAGGGAGACATGTTGTCCTGCTCGTTGGCATGGGGATTCTGCCCGCGGAGGGCGGTTCTGCCCGACGAGGGACAATGGTTGGCAGCGCGTCCCCGCGGAGGGGAGCGCGCAGAGAACGTCTTGAGGCACGTTGTTCTGCTCGACGGGAGCATGCCCTGCCCGTCGAGGAGTCACATGCTCGACCAACCTGCTTAAACCAGATTGGGCCTTTATCGTGCATAATTGGCCTGGGCCGCGTGGTTAGGTCGGGGCCTAGGCCAGAACAGGAGCCCCCCCAAGTCGAAGCTCTTCGGTGGAAGCGTGAGGACTTGAAAACGTTGTTTCGGGGAAGAAGGTCGCGTGAAACGAGACTCCGCTAGTTCGTGTTTGGCGAGGTGTGTGTGCGCGAAGATCTGTCCACGTCGTCGGGTGCGTGGGGCAAAGGCATTTGAAGGGACGCGACTGTCAGCTTTCTGCCGCGTGTCACACATTGAGTGGGTGCGAGGGCGGCTACCCTAGGGCATTCAAGTACCTAGTGCCACTTCGAGTTCCGTGTCGGGTTATAAATAGGTGAGTCCTCGCGCACTTTTTACTTTTCACCTTGCCATTTTACTTACGAAGCTCTGTTGCCCCGCCCTGTCCGTTGTCGCCGCCGTGAATTGCCGCCGCGCCGTCCGTCTTGCATTCCGTCAACCGCCTCTATAAAGGGAGTTTTCTTCCTCCTTTCTTTTATCTTTGCCATTTATTTTTGGATTTATGGTCGTGGCACGATGAGGGCCCCGAAGAGAACGCGGGTCCCCACCGTATTTGGTGGAGTTTTTAGGATTGTTTAGATGAATGCGCCAGGGAGGATCGATTATTTCGATGACTGCCCCGGGGACGGGCGCTTCTTCCGATGAAGCCCCCGGGGAGGGGCGATAGGTTAGTTTGAACGTCCCGTGGAGAAGTGGTGGGGAAATGCTCCTCGGGGACTTGCCCGGGTGTTTTTGTCTTCAGTTCGCGAAACCGCCCTCGTCGCTCTTTCATTTGACATGCGGTGGAAGGGTGGATTTGATCTTGGCTATCAAATTCACCGTTATCCTCTGCTTTTCAGGTGTCCATGTCGGCATTGGTCCTGGGGACGATGGTCGAAGATAACGAGCAGATTTCGACGAGAGAGTCCCCCCTACCGAGGAATGGGTGGCTGAGGAGCCCTTATCCACCCCTTCTTGTTTTTCCTTTGACCCGTCCGACGCCTATACCATTGTGGAGGACTGGGAGGAGGGATAGCCGCAGAACTGGCAAGTTTACCGCCCCAAGAAACATCACCGTGTCTGCTCGAGATATGGGCGGTGGACATTCCCCATGTAAGAGTTTTATTTTAAAGAGGCCCAGCTCAGGCTGCCATTCTCCGACTTTCATTTGGGTCTTTTCGATTGGCTGCATCTGGCTCCGTCTCAGCTGCATCCTAATGCCTTGTCCTTTATCCGCACGTTCGAGCTGGTGTGTCGCTTCCTCTAGGTCGGCGCTACGGTGCCCTTGTTTTTCCGTATTTTCCACCTACAGCGGCAAACGGTGAATGGCCGGCATGGTTGGGTTTCGTTTAAGCAGTCGACCATACTATTCAAAACGTACATGGACTCCGTCCGGGATTTTAAAGGTCGCTTCTTCCTCGTGAGGCCGATCACAAGAGAAGGGGTAGACTCTCTATTTACCGAGGGGGAGCGAGTGGTGGATGGTCAGCGGTTTTTCGCGTGGCTTCCGAGAGTGCACTTGCTGTGGACTTCAGAGCATTTTAACCGCGGGACCGATCGATTTATAGTGCGGGTTGGGACCCTCGACGAGGGGGACATGGCCGCCTATCTGAAGATAGTGGCGTTTGGGCGTGGTCTGCCGCCGTCGAAACTGGTGAGGCCTGATGGTCGGTATCTTTTCGACGAGCAGGGGAACGTGCGAACGAAGAAGAGGTTGATTAATACGAAAACCTTGCTCGGTTTCTCCTCAGAGACGGAGGCTTTCGATTATCTAGGTGGGGACGCTTCTCTCTTCTCGTGACTTTGTATGTTTTATCTGTTGCTGACTTTCCTTTTATTTTTTGCAGCGAACATGTCTTCTGTCGAAGAGCGGGTGAAGAAGCTGCGTGCCTCGAAGGTTGCCGCCACTACGAAGACGCGGGTGAGCCAAATAATCGTGCAGGAAGCTGCAGTCCAGGGCGGTCAGAGCTCATTCTCGTCTCCTCAGGGGAGTCAATATCCCTCGTCTCAGGGGGCTACGAAGAGGCCCGGAACCGAGGAGGCGGGCGGCGTGATCGATCTGACGATCGGGTCTGCCGAGGAGGGGTATGTTGTCCCGCCATGCCATCAGCACCCGGGCTACTTTTACGGGGCCAGGTCGCCTATTATTTCTGCTGGTGAAGTGAAGTCGGTTCTGGATGCGGACTAGGACTCTCGTCATCGAATTCTGGCGGAGGATCTGGCCGCGATGATGCGGACCTTTACCACGGTGATGGTCCTGAGCGAGGAAGGTTGCTCTACTGCCGAACTGACCAAGCTACGGGGGGACCTCACCTTCGTGCATTCGCGTCTGGCTAAGCTCTCCGAGGAGTTGGAAAAAAGTCAAAGGGAGACTTCCGACCAGCGCAAGCGGGTGGATGGTGCTGAGGAGAAGGTGACGACTGTCGAGGAGAAGCTGGGGGCTGCGGAGGCCGAGGTGTAGGCGATGAAGGTTCGCGTGGGGGTTATAGAAAGCACCCTCCGTCCGGCCGAGGATGAGACCGACGAAGACAGGTGGATGGTTACTCGTGTGGACTTGCTTGCCCATATTCGGGTATTGGAGAATGATTGTTTGGAAGCCGTGGAGGTCGGGTTCAAAAGTGTCGTCGTGCAGCTCCAAGTCGTCAACCTTGGTGTCGCTCTGGTTGTGGATGGGGTCGGGCCCTATCACGAGATCGTCGACGGGCAGGTGATCGACCTGGAGCTTGTCGGCCACGATGTTGTTCCTGTGGAGACTGAGAAGGAGGGTGAGGTGGACGTGTAGATTTTCCCCGGGCCTGCGTGCCCGTAGGTTCTGGGCCTGCGTGCCGACGCTTTTGTAATTTTTCTTAAGTGTTTTGTTTTGTCGGGCCTGCGTGCCCTTGATGGTGTAATATGAATACTAGGCTGGTGCCTTTTTCATAGTTCTTGAAATTTTTCTAAGTGTGCGCTCGGTTTTGTTTCTGCATGTTTGTTTATGCTCGTTTTATGTCTGCACGTATTTGTATGTTTGAAATATGTATGTTTCGCCCGTTGCGGGTCTTGTTCGGGGTTTTGCT